GCGGCCTCCAGCCGCAACAGTAACGCGCCCCCTCTTGTAGTCAGAATCGCGGCGACAGTCGGCAGCGCTGCAGGGGGCGCGCCCGCGCTCGGAGACGTTCCTCCCAATTCAGACATTCAGGAATTGTTTCCGGAAAGTGCGGCCATCAGCTGCAGCAGCCCTCTGGGAGAGCTCCAGCCTGAACAGGCGGTCGTTCGCAGCAGCGCGTCGGCCCCTTCCCCTCCCGGTGGCAGGCATGCTGGCGCCCCTACCGCCCCTCACCCCTATCAGCGCCCCTCGGGCAGCGTCGTTGTGGAGGCGGCAGGTGCGGCCGAAATGGTGCCCCGTCCTGGCAACTGCATCGTGATGGCAGCTGCGAGCGCTGCAGAAGGCAAGCAGGCTCTCCGTCAGCGCCTCACTCCCATCAGCGCCCCGGGGGCAGAGTCTTGGTGGAGGCCGAAGATGCGCCCGGAACGGCGCCCACACCCGCCAACCGTTTCGCGGCGGCAGCTCGGAATGCTGCTGAGGGCGATGCCGCCACACACAACTGAGTAAGGAGGTCGCAGACAGTGTGACCATTGTCACTTCCCTGGCAGTGCTCCCAGCGCAGGAACGCCCGCCGCTGGCGGAGCCCCTCGCTTGCTGGAAGTTTAAGGTTCTCATGTTGGGGTCGTGCAGCCGTTTGCCGCAGTCGCCCATGCGTGCCCCTACCTCTCCAGGCGCTTGGCCAGCCCCCCGCCCTCGTGGAACAGGCCCCTGGCGCTGTCAATACTTGGCGCTGTAGCTGTTTTCGCCCGGGCCTATGCTCGGCCCTGGCCAGAGCCTGGCTCGGCCATCCTGGCGCTGGCCTCTGCGTGACGCCTCCGGCTCGCGCCTTCTTCAGGCAGCCGCGCCCGCGGCGGCCCTGGTGGCGCCGGCTTCCTGCCCCCCCCTTGTAGCAGCACCGTTGGGGGGGAGAGAGAGGGCCCCTCCCGACGATGACTTTCTGGAGGTGGGGGCGGTGGTGGGCGGCAGTGGCGGCGGCAGCGGTGGCGTTGGAGCGGGGGCGGCAGCGGCGGCCAGCCTTGGCGCTGCAGCGGAAAGAGGAGTAGACCCAGTGGCCCCCTCTGACGACGATGACATGTAGGACGGTCTGGGGCGATTGCACTTGCAGTAAAGTTTCCGGCCCCTCCCTGCCGCCGCCGCACTGGGGTCGATTCTTACAGAAAGTGCGGCCTTCAGTTGCTTCCTGGTTCAGCCACTTCTTGGTAGCGCGGGCGCCCGCCCGGCGCCGCGCACCTGGGGGGCCCGTTGAGAAAGCGGGCGCGCCCAGGGGAGCGGCCAGAGGCTGTGCGCACCGCCAGCGGCGCCCGAGCGCGGACACCCCATGCCCTGGATGGGAACCCCTCGAGGACGGGGGCGTGCCTCGGGGAGGGGCAAGCGCCGCGGGCGTTGGCCAGACTGCCACTACGCTTGGGGGAGGGGAAACTGGTTTCACCCTAGACGCAGCCCGCCGCGCACGGACGCGAAGGTCGCTGTGGCTTCTTTGCAGAAGGTGCAGCCTTCAGCTGCTTCAGCAGTAGGTCGCAGTGGACCGCTCGGAATGGGGGCGCCAACCCTTCCCTGCTCGAAGGACGGGCCCAGCAGCAGAGAGGAGGCTCGCGGGGGTTGTTCGCGACAGAGACGGACGAGGCGACGCGCGTTCCCAAGCAGGTGGGGTTCCCTCTGTACTCGGCAAACCAGTGGCCTTCACCCTTTCCCAGGTAGCACTTTCTGCCCAGCACTGCGGGTTTGCCCACCCTTGTTTCGCCCTAGACGCAGCCCGACGCGCGCGGGCGCTATGGTGGCTGTGTGTACTTGCAGAAGCGCAGTCTTCAGCTGCTTCCTGGTACCCTGGCACGCCGACCAACAGCGGGCCACAATGGGCCACTCGGAATGGGGGCGTCACGCCCTCCCTGCCAGGAGGGCGGGCCCTGCAGCTGGAAGACTCGCGGGGTTCTCTCACTGCGGCGATGGACGAGGCGACATGCGCTCCCGCACTTGGTGGTGTTCCCTCTGTAATCGGCAAACCAGTGGCCTTCAGCCACTCCCTGGTAGCGCTTTCCGCCCAGCACTCGCTGTCCCCCGCCCTTGGGGTCCTGGCAGCGGTCTGCTGACAATGCCGGCAAGTGGACTGCCGCTGGGGCTGTGGTCCACCTGTCCTACTAGGCCCTTGGCCCTGCTGTAGCTGTTCTCACCGCGATCGGCGCGGTCCTCTCCCCGCGCCCACAGTCAACCGCCCCGCTGGAGCGATCCGCTCCCCGCGGCTGGACCTCCCTGCCCCTCTCCTCCCTGGTCTCCCCCGCCCAGGCGGCCGTGCGTCGCAGCGGCTTCGCCAATCGGCCCCTGGTCTCCCCAGCTCCAGCGGCTCAACCCCATCGTGGGGCGCCTGGGGCTCCTGAGTGCACGTGGATCAGCCTGTGTTCTCCTGGTCGGCGGACGACCGCGTTGACCCGTCCACGGTCCCCAGCGGCGATGCCCACGTCACCCTCGTGTTACTCGCCCCGGTACCTGAGACGTGGATCGCCCTGGTGTTGGTCAGCTCTCAGTCGTCGGTGCCCTGCTCGAGAGTGCGCGGGGCTTGGCCTGATCGGTGGTTCAGGCGTTTTACGGTGTTGATTACATCCATCGTTGTCCTGGCTACTCCGCTCGTCCTACCGGGACCTCCCCGTGGACGGCTGTTTGCAGGTTCAGTACTCCCTTCGGGAGTCTTGGTGTGCGACTTTGGTGGCGCCACCCTACGCACCAGTTTTGGGCCAGTACGTCCTACCCTTGGCAGCTGACGCAGTGTATTGCCTGGTTGCCTCCCTGGCCACATCCTGGTACGTCCCCCGCGCCAGTTTGGCTGCGTTCCAACCCTGGTTGGTTATTCCTGCATGTGCGTGCTCCTGGACCTGGTCCCTGGCAGCCGCAGCCTGCACCCCCCCCTCTCGCTGGCCCGCCCGCCGCGGCGCTGCTGAGGTCGCCGGCCCGTCGGCGTTAGGCAATTCGGCTCTTGCGCGGCCGGCTCGGACCTCACTCGCCGCTGGCGCGCTCGCCTGCGGTTGCGACAAAAAAGTATCCCCACCAGCCTTTGGCCGCCGGTTCGTCGGCGCGTTAGGCAATTAGGTTCGCGCGTAGCCCGCCCGTCTCTTGACGCTGCTGGCGCGTTCGCCTGCGGCCGCGACGAAAAAGTATCCCCACCAGCACATTCAGAAACTCTGCCCGTTAGAGCTGATGGGAAAAGGGGCGACGGGACACATGTACTGAAACCGAGGTAGCAAAGATGGGGAACAGAGAGATATTTGGGAGCAAGAGGTTGGCCTTGGAAGGCCTCTTCGGGCCATCCCTGGGGCCCGCGTGGGGGCGAAGGATGATGATGCTGCTGATGATGGTGATGATGATGATGGTGATGATGATGATGCTGATGATGATGATGATGATGATGATGATGATGATGATGATGATGGTGATGGTGATGGTGATGAGGAGGGGTGAGGAGGAGGAGGAGGAGGAGGAGGAGGAAGAGGAGGAGGAGGAGGAGGAGGAGGAAGGGGGGGAGGAGGAGGACGACGACGACGACCACTACCACCACCACGACGAGGAAGAGGAGGAAACGGCAAAGGAAGACGATGCGGACAATGACGAGGACGATGAGGAGGAGGAGAAGGAGGAGGAGGTGGAGGAGGAAGAGGAGGAGGAGGAGGAGGAGGAGGAGGAGGAGGAGGCGGAGTAGGACAACGAGGACGAGGACAGAGGTCTCAGAATCACGTCTTGGAGCCCCCTTGGGACTCCTTTGGGGGACTTTGGGTGTCCTTTTGGGGCTCTTTTGGGGTGTCTTTGGGCCCTCTTAAGGCCCTCTCGGAGCCCTCTTGGGGCTCCCTGAACCCCCAGAGTGCCCCTTGAAGGCCATCGATCAAAGGTGGGGGCTTCTCGGTTTCCGTCCCCCGCCAAGAGCCCTCGAAATCGCCTCTTGGGGCCCTCATTGGGCGCTCTTGGGCCGCTCTTGGGCGCTCTCGGGGCCATCTGGGGGGCCTCTTGGGTTCCTCTTGGGCCTCTCTTTGCCGATCTTGGGGTCATCTTGAGGCCTCAAAAGCGAATCGGAATCGAAAAGGCGAGAAGTCAAACAACCATTGTTTTTCTTATGTTTGAAGGATTTGGGCCTCTTGGGGGGTCCTGAGGGGGCTCCGAGAGCACTTAAAGCCGTCTCGTGGCCCTCGTTGGGCCTCTTAGCCTCTTTGGAGCCATGTCGGAAGCTATCTTGAACCATCTTCGACTATCTTGAGCCGCCTTGGAGGCCATCTTGGAGCATCCGAGGCCCTCTTGGAGCCATCTTGGGCGAAGCATGACCCTCTGCCACCTTGCGGCCCCCGTCAAGAGACCTCAGGGAGGGGAGTGGGATGGTACCCCTCCCCGAAGGGAAGAGGGTTTTTGGAAGAGTACAGACAGAACTCATCAGACCTCCTTAGCCCACAGAGAGCTGGTGGGATTTTTGTCGAGACGTCGGATCTCTTGAAAGGAGGAACGAGGAGGAGCGAGAAGGGAGGCAATACCACCCCGACCCCCCACAATCGGCGTTTAGTAAACGGCCCGAGACGTTTACTAAACAGCCCTGCCCTGTTCGATATCTTCCTTGGGTGCGTTTGCGGCAATGCTTCGCTAGTCGGGATGCTTCTAATGAGGATGTTTTTTTTCCTGCGCACTGCGAACAAAAAAGAGGGGTAGGGAGGAAAGAGGAGCAACGATGATGAGCGAGGTGGGATGGGGTCGGCCCACGTTCCCTCGGGCGCCGCGGCAAGGATAGGCCTGCCGTCGGTTGGGTGTGGGTCTGCGGCCCAAGGGGTCCAGCGGGGGAGGAACAGATAGGAGGGACCCCTCCTCCCTGCCTTGGTTCTCCTTTCCCCAGTCTCCTCCTCCTCCTCCTGCTCCTCCTCCTCCTCCTCCTAAGCAGATCGCCGAACAGCCTTCTAGGACACTCCCAAACCTCCAGCCCCGCCCCCGTGTGGTTTTCGGTCGGCCGGCAGGACGCCTCCCCAGAGACGGCCCTCTGGCGCCTGGCCGAGCAGAGCCTGGTGCCACTCGTGCTGAAGGCCCTCGTCGGCAAGCCCTTCCCGGACGTCCGCAGCCACTGCTGGCAGCTGCTGGCCGAGCCCTCCTCCTCCTCCTCCTCCTCCTCCTCCTCCTCCTCCTCCTCGCCCTCCAGACCCTCCTGTCCCTCTCCTCTCCCTTCCGCTCCTCCCTTCATCGTCCCCTCCCCGCCCCGTTCCAGCTTCCCTCCTCCACCCCCGCCTTGCCTGCTCCCCCTCCCTCCCCTCTGCGAACAGAGGGCTGTGCCCGTTCGTGACTCGACCCCCCCTGACACATCCGACGCCGTCAATTTTCGCAGGCGTGACCCCCCAGAGGTCTGGGCCTCTTCCCGGGGACCAGGCCTTCATCCTGAGTCGTCTCTTGACTGCCCGGGGGCTCGGCAAAAGAGCCCCTGGGAGCCAAAGGTCGTCCGAAAGCTTGCGCCGTGTGTCTTTTCACGGCGAGGGGCTGTATGGGCCTCTCTCCTTCGTCTATCCCCCCCCCCTCCTCTCCATCCTCGCCGCCGGCCCCCTTCCCCCCCCCCCCCCTGGGGAGGCGGAGCTGGCGAGGTCCCGGGCGGCGGCGCAGCGCGTGATCCCGTCCGAGGAGATTCGCGACCTCCTGCTCGACTTCACTTCCGAGACCAATTCCGAGGCCCGCATCGCAAAGCACGAGTTTGTCGTGTCCCTCGTAGGGCACCAGGGGAGCTGGCTGGGAGCTTTCCTGGACGAGACGGTGGAGCAGCACCTTTCGGAGTACTCGCGGCAAGGCCCTCACTGGGTACCACGCAACTCTGCCGTCTTGGTCGGCGACCAGAATGCCTGATTCGTCTGATGGCATAGCAGCGCGGGCTTCATACCGGAGTCGTTACAGAGGATGGGGCAGCGATGCCCAGTGGCCGTTGTGACCGTAGGCATCCGAGATCGCGCCCCGTGCAGTTACCGCTGCCGCTCGCCACGCTCCTCCTACAGCCCAGCGGAGCCATGAGAACTCTTTGGTTTGGTGCGGTGGTCTGGATTTCTTGCAATGATCGAGTGCGCCCGAGAGCCTCAGCATGACAAACAAGCATCATACATGAGGGTCTGGACAGCGAAAGCGCTTACGCCACAACGGTTCCGAGCTCTTGTTATCCTAGTGGACTCCCGTGGTTAGGGTGCTGGACTGTGCCGACACCTGACCTCACCCCCTCTCGCCCGCTCTTCGTCTTCTTCCTCTTCCGCATGTCGCACCGCTTCCACCTGGTTCCCTCCTGCACCTCCAGCCTTTGCTCCCTCTTCCCCTCGTTCTCCCCTAAATCCCCCCTCTGATCCCTCTCCTCCTCGTGCGCCCCACCAGTCGAGTTCCCGACGCACCTTCTTTTCCTTCCTGAAGGCGCCGAGGGTGTGGCAGGCTGCGGGCGCGCTCTGGCCTGCTCCGTTGCTCCGGCGTGCCCTGGGGACCTCGCTCTGGAGGAGGAGCAGGACGAGGAGGAGGACGCACCGTGGAGCAGCTGCGGCACCTGGGGATTCAGACAAGCGGCCCGGACGCCGTGTGTGCCGAGCGCGTGAATCGCCCTCGCCCGATGCTTGGGCGCTCGGTCGGCAGCGGCGAGGCTGGAAGCGTAGGGCAAGTCCGAAGTTGCAACAGGGGGGGGTGGGGGAGTCGGCGCTTTGAGCCCATCATCGATCGACCGGACCCAGGAGTGACTACCCGTAAGAGTGACCCTTCGCCGGAGTGACCTTTAGTGCTGACCTTGCCAGAGTGACCCTTCGCCAGAGTGACCCTTCGCCAGAGTGACCCTTCGCGGTCGGGTGATTTTTCTTGTGGAATGAGCTTGACCTCGCGTCGACTCCCGCATCGCATGATTGCGCTCGCATCTGAGCGCGCCAGGTTTGGGCCCACCCCTTGCAATCGACAGCAGCGCATACGCGTCGCACCCTGCAGCTTGCATTGGTTACCCGAGGGGGGCCAGTCGACCAGTCGGCGCGTTTTTTGGCCCTGGACCAGTCCCAAATCCCTGCCCAAATCCCAAAAAGTCTGGCTATCTTTGGATATCTGCGGATATCTTTCAATATCCTTGAATATGTTTGAATATGTTTGAGCATTTCTGAAGAACCAATGGGGATCGCAAATATATTCAAACATATACCAGAATCTCGGATGGGGGCTGGTTTGGGCCATTACGCCGGGCCTGGTTAGACGTCATCGCGACGCAGCCAGGCAGTGCCAGACCTCGTCGCGGCCGCCCCCGGCAGCGTCTGCTTATGCAGCGCCTTTGAAGGGCCATTCGGGGCGCTCGAATTCAATCGGCGGAATTCCGCGGTTGCCCGGTGGCGGAGCAAAAAATTTGGAGCGGCGCCCCGCCGGTCTTTGATGCGGCGCGGCAGCGCCGGCATGCGCGATTGCGTTGGGCCCCCACGGGCGCCCCTGAAGCCGCGCGGCAAAGGTCACTCTAGCCTAGGGTCATTCCTGCATGTAGTCGAGAATGGCGCACGAAGGCAACGGGAGTGGATGTTTTTCGTTCGATCATCCCCCCCCCCCAGCGTGGCGTGCCGACGCGGAGCCAAGCCGAGATGAGGTACACAAGCTCGAGGGTGACCTGCATGGTCTCAAGCACGAAATGCTCAGCATGCGCCGCGAGAAGGCCGACCTGGCGGAGAGGAACCTGCGCATCGCCAAGGACGTCCCCCCGATCGCCCGGGGCCAACTCTCTGTGGAAGCCAAGGCAGTGTAGGTCTAACAGTGCATGGGCCAAGACGAACGCCCGTTGGCCCCCGAAACTGCAAGTCGGCTGATCCTAGACAGGTGGAGGAGGAGGAACAGGAGAAAGCCAGACAAGGAGAAAGAACATCAGGGGGAGGAAGATGGTATTGAGGTTGAGGTTGAGGTTGTTGTTGTTGTCGTCGTCGTCGTCGTTGTCGTTGTCGTTGTTGCTGTTGCTGTTGTTGTTGTTGTCGTTGTTGTCGTTATCGTTGTCGTTGTCGTTGTCGTTGTCGTTGTCGTTGTTGTTGTCGTCGTCGTTGTCGTTGTCGTTGTCGTTGTCGTTGTTGTTGTTGTTGTTGTTGTCGTTGTTGTCGTTGTCGTTGTCGTTGTCGTTGTCGTTGTCGTCGTTGTCGTCGTTGTCGTCGTTGTCGTCGTTGTTGTCGTCGTTGTTGTTGTTGTTGTTGTTGCTGTTGTTGTTGTTGTTGTTGATGAGGACGTGCTGCTAGTGCCCGGGGGTGGGTGGGTCGCAACGCAACCGCGCAACGCTCGAGCGCGAACGCGGTTGCGTGCAGACCCCCCTCCCTCGCAAAGCCCGCAGGTGGTTGCACGCGTTGCGCCCCCCCCCTTGCGTGCCCTGCCGAAGGCCCCAAGAGGAATCAGGGGGCACCAGTGGCTGCGCTCGCATGCGCCCGCCGCGCGCATTCTGGCACACCCCTCATACGTTTCGTGGCCCCACAGGGAGCTCCACCGACGCCTCATTTCGGCACACCCCTCTCGAGGATCGTGGCCCTGGCTCCACAGGGAGCTTCACCGAAGCTTCATTTCGGCACACCCCTTCTCGAGGATCGTGGCCCTGGCCCCACAGGGAGCTTCACCGAAGCTTCATTTCGGCACACCCTCTTGAGGACCGTGGCCCTGGCCCCACAGGGAGCTACACCGAAGCACCATTTCGGCAAACCACTCCCGAGGATCGTGGCCCAGGCCTCGCAGGGGGCTCCACCGAGGCTTCATTTCGGCACACCCCTCTCAAGGATTACGCCCCTGGCCCCACAGGGAGCTCCACCGAAACTTCGGCACGCCCCTCTCTCAAGGATGGTGGCCCAGGCCCCACAGGGAGCTACACCGAAGCACCATTTCAACACACCCCTCTCGAGGATCGTGGCCTTGGCCCCGCAGGGAGCCCCGACGAAACGTCATTTCGGCACACCCTCTCTCGAGGATCGTGGCCCTGGCCCCGCAGGGAGCTTCACCGAGGCTTCATGTCGGCACACCCCTCTCCAGGATGGTGGCCCCGGCCCCACAGGGAGCTCCACCGAAGCACCATTTCGGCACACCCCTCTCGAGGATCGTGGCCCTGGCTCCACAGGGAGCGCCACCGAAGCTTCATTTCGGCACACCCCTCTCAAGGATTGCGCCCCTGGCCCCAAAGGGAGCTCCACCGAAACTTGATTTCGGCACGCCCTCTCTCGAGGATCGTGGCCCAGGCCCCACAGGGAGCTACACCGGAGCACCATTTCGGCACGCCCCTCTCGAGGATCGTGGCCCTCGCCCCACAGGGAGCTCCTCCGAAGCGTCATTTCGGCACGCCCTCTCGAGGATCGTGGCCCTGGCCCCACAGGGAGCTCCACCGAAGCTTCATTTCTGTACACCCCTCTGGAGGATCGCGGCCCGGGCCCCGCAGGGAACTCCACCGAAGCTGTATTGTGGCAAGCTTCACCGAAGCACCATTTCGGCACACCCCTCTCGAGGATCGCGGCCCAGGCCCCACAGGGAACTCCACCGAAACTTTATTTCGGCACGCCCCTCTCGAGGATCGTGGTCCTGGCCCCACAAGGAGCTTCACCGAGGCTTTATTTCGGCACACCCCTCTGGAGGATCGCGGCCCTGGCCCCGCACAGAGCTCCATCGAAGCTTCGTTCCGGCACACCCCTCTCGAGGATCGTGGCCCCGGCCCCACGGAGCTCCTCCGAAGCGTCATTTCGGCACGCCCTCTCGAGGATCGTGGCCCTGGCCCCACAGGGAGCTCCATCGAAGGTTCATTTCCGGCACACCCTCTTGAAGATCGTGGCCCTGGCCCCACAGGGAGCTACACCGAAGCACCATTTCGGCAAGCTGCTCCGGAGGATCGTGGCCCAGGCCTCACAGGGGGCTCCACCGAAGCTTCAGTTCGGCACACCCCTTGGCACACCCCCAGGCTTCTATCAGTATACAAAATATACTAATGGAGGTGGTGGTGGTAGTAGTAGTGATCTTAGTCGTGGTCATCATGTCGTAGTAGTAGTAGTAGTAGTAGTAGTAGTAGTAGTAGTAGTAGTAGTAGTAGTAGTAGTAGTAGTAGTAGTACCAGTAGTAGTAATAATAATAATAATAGTAGTAGTAGTAGTAGTAGTGAGAGTAAGAGTAGTAGTAGTAGTAGTAGTAGTAGTAGTAGTAGTAGTAGTAGTAGTAGTAGTAGTAGTAGTAGTAGTAGTGGTAGTAGTAGTGGTAGTAGTAGCAGTAGTAATAGTGGTATTAGTAGTGGCACTAGTAGTGTTAATACCAGAGGTAGTAGTAGTAGTAGTAGTAGTAGTAGTAGTAGTAGTAGTAGTAGTAGTAGTAGTCGTAGTCGTAGTAGTAGTAGTAGTAGTAGTAGTAGTAGTAGTAGTAGTCGTAGTAGTAGTAGTAGTAGTAGTAGTAGTAGTAGTAGTAGTAGTAGTAGTAGTAGTAGTAGTAGTAGTAGTAGTAGTAGTAACAGTAGTAGTAGTAGTAGTAGTAGTAGTAGTAGTAGTAGTAGTTGTTGTTGTTGTAGTAATCGTGGTCGTAGTAGTAGGTAGTAGTAGTAGTAGTAGTAGTAGTAGTAGTAGTAGTAGTAGTAGTTGTAGTAGTAGCAGTAGTAGTAGTAATTGTAGTAGTAGTAGTAGTAGTAGTAGTAGTAGTAGTAGCAGTCGTCGCTGCCTGGGCCACCACGGGGGGGCATCATATTAAGGATCTGCAGCGTCGCTAACATCATCATCCTCACCGTCGTTAGCATCACCACTTTCACCATCACCGTTATCACGCAACCAGCAGGTGTCATCATCGTCATCACCGTCATCATGAACACCACCGCCATCATTGTCATCACCCTCAGTATCATCATCATCGTCACCATCACCATCATCATC